AATTGCATTCAGGTTCATGACACCATGAAGGTATAATCACAGTTTTACAATCCCAGTCAATACAGAAGACTAAACACAGTTGAATGCTTAAAATTACAAGAGCCATCTACTCTAGAATGAGGATGGATCAAAGTCCAGGAATTTCTACTTTCTTTTGTACTACAACAACCTGAGCTTTCAAAGGTTTGGAACAATCAATAAAAAAACCTTCCAACACAGGATTTCTAGACAGCAAAAACAAAACGATGGCAAAAACCAAACAGGATACCCAGTTAAATCTGAATTTCAGAAAACAACAAGTAATTTTTTAGTATCTGTGCCATAGTACATTTGGGAAATAACTGTACTAAAACAATTATTTGTTGTTTATCTGAAGTTTATATTTAACTGGCAAACCTATCAGGTAACAAAAGGACTCTGTTAGTCAGGATTCTTTTGCCTGCTTGTTACAGAAACTCATTTCATACTGGCCTAAGTAAACTGAAAAATCAACAGGCACGGTGGCTCACCCCTGCAATCCCAGCACTTTGTGAGGCCGAGGCCGGTGGATCACAAGTTCAGGAGTTTGAGAGCAGCCTGGCTAACATGGTAAAACTTGTCTTTACTAAAGATACAAAAAATTAGCCAGGCATGGTGGTGCGCACCTGTAATCCCAAATACTCGGAAGGCTGAGGCAGAGAATCGCTTGAACCCGGGAGGTGGAAGTTGCGGTGAGCCAAGATCACACCACTGCACCCCAGCCTGGGTGACAGGGTGAGACTCCATATCCCCCACCCCAGAAAAAGAAATAAGTTAATTAGCTGACACAACTGATAAGTCCAGGGATAGATCTAGCTTCACATATGGCTTGATCCAGAAGTTCAAATGACATTATCAACACTGGGTATTTGTCTCTTTCTCCACATATAAGGCCCAGGACTCTATGTGGTGGCCGTAAACAGTTCTAGGACTACATTTTCCCAAATGGGCTGCCTTTATGGGAAAAAAGAACTTTTCTGTCTCAGTAGTTTCAGTGATTATCCTATAATGGAGTCTTACTGGACTAATTGGGTCATGTGCCTCTCCCTGAACCAATTACTATAGCCTCTAGAATTGGACGTTGTATCGGTTTCTTACAGCTACCATAACAAATTACCCACCCTGGATGGCATAAAACAATAGAAATTTACTCCCTCATAGTTCTGGAGGTGAGGCTGTGTTACCTCCAAAGACTCTAGCACGGAAACTGTTCCAGCTTCCTGTGTATGGAGACATCCTTGGCTTGTGGCCCCATACTCCAGTCTCGGCCCTCTGTAGTCACATTGCCTCCTATTTTCTGTTTCAAAACTCCCATTTCCTTTCTCTTATAAGGATACTTAAACGGTTTATTTATAGCCTACCCAGATAATCCAGGATAAGCACCGCCTTTCTCGATCCTTAACTTAATTACATGCTTTGCCATATAAGATAGTATTTAAAGGTTCTGGGGATTTGAGCCTGGATATATCTTTGGCAGGGGTCAACTGTTCAGCTTACCAGAGATATTTAGGATTGAAAAGTCAGTGATAAATAGTTCTCCAAAAAAATGATGATGTTGGCACCTGAAAAAGAAAATAATGGATGCTGGAAAGCAAATGCAGCAAGATATTTACAACAAAGACTTTTTAGTCTGTTCAATTCAATTAATTTCATGCAGTTTACCCTTGAATAATTTAAGGGGTTAGGGGCACCCCCATCTCTGCACAGTTGGAAATCTGCATTTGACTTTGACTCCCCAAAAACGTAACTACTGATAGCCTACTGTTGACTGATAGCCTTACTGATAACATAAACAGTTGATTAACACATATTTTGTATGTTTTATGTATTATACACTGTTTTTTACAACAAAGAAAGCTAGAGAAAAGAAGGCAGAATTTAAGAGCAATGAACTAGGATATCTAGCAGAAGAAATATCTAAGCAGCAAAGCATTCAAGGTGCTGTGTGGGTTCTTTTGGCTGCTTACAGTAAAATTAGAGATAAATGATTAAAAGACAATTTTTTTTTTTTTTTTAGAGAGAGGGGGTTTCACCAAGTTGGCCAGGATGGTCTCGATGTCTTGACCTCATGATCCCCCGACCTGAGCCTCCCAAAATGCTGGGATTACAGGCTTGAGCCACTGTGCTTGGCCTAAAAGATGAATTTATAATGAAAAAGGAAGCAGAAAGTAAAAATTTAAAAAATTTTCAGCCTGGCCAAGAGTGCAAAGGCATATTTGGGAGAGCCTTGTGAGGATGTAAGATCCTTATAGGGATGTGGTCCAGTGAACCCCTTGCTAAAGAGATTACCTTTAGCAGGGAGCCAGGTGCTACTCATCAAGACAAGAAAGACCTCAATGGCACTTCAGAGATTTTTTAATGTTGCCCCTTCCATCACAGGCCCAGAGCAGGACCTTGAAGGCAAGGTTTCCAGAGAGGTGGCCACAGGGCCTCAGCATTTGCTACTTGGCACTGCTTCAAGTATTTGCTCCCGCATTCCAACACAGCCCTCCACAGCTGCTGCAGCTGTGTGGCTCAGGTGGGCCCAGGTGTTGCTTGGGCTGCTGTTCCAGAGGGTGCAAGTGGTGGGCCTTGGCAGTGTCCATTTGGTATCAATTCTGAAGGTGCACCGAGTTCACGAGCTGTGGGGCTATGGCAGCCTCCACCTAGATTCCAAAGAATGTACTGGACAGCCTGGGAACCCAGGCAGAAACTTGCCACAGGGGCAGAGCTGCCACAGAGAGTCTCAACCAGGGCAATGCCTAGTGAGCCATGGGAGGAAAGCCATGGCAGGGAACCACCACTAGGACAATGCCCAATGGAGCTGTGGGGCTGGGGCTGTCCTAGAGCCCCCTGAAGTGTAGAGCTACCAATGTGCAACACAGCTTGGAAGAGCTTCAGGCATGAGACTACAAACCATGAGGCTGTGACATGTCTGCGCTCAGCAAAGTCATACAGATGGGGCAGCCCAAGACCTTGGAGGCCCAACCCCCACCCCAGTATGTTTAGAAGGTGATACATAGTCAAGAAAGACTATTCTGGGGCTTTGGGATTTAATGTTGTTTTCCCCGTTAGGTTTTGGACTTACTTGGGACCCATCTTTTCTTACCTACTTTTCCCTTTTGGAATGTGAATGCCTATACTGTGCCTGTGCCACCACTGTATTTTGAAAGCAAATAATTTGTCTTCATTTCACAGGCTCATTGCTGGAAGAAATTTGTCTTAGGATGAATTGTGCCTTGTGTCTTGCCCATATCTGATTTAGATGAGACTCTGGACTTTCCAGTTGGTCCTGGAATTAGTGAAGACTTCAGGGCTGCCAGGAGCAGTGTCTCACACCTGTAATCCCAGCACTCTGGGAGGCTGAGGCAGGTGGACTGCTTGAGCCCAGGAGTTTGAGACCAGCCTAAGCCACATGTCAAAACCTCATCTCTACAAAAAAAATTAGCTGGGCATGGTGGCATGCACCTGTAGTCCCAGTTGCTCAGAAGGCTAAGATGGGAGAATCACCTAAGCTCAGGAGGTTGAGGCTATAGTGAGCCATGATTATGCCACTGCACTCCAGCCTGAGAGACAGAGTAAAAACACTGCCCCCGCCCAAAAAGAAGGCTTTAGGGCTATTGGGATGGAATAAATGTATTTTCCATATGAGAAGGATATGAACTGGGGTGGGGGAGCATAGAAGCAGAATGCTACGGTTTGAATGGCCCTTGCAGGATGCCAGTGCCTTGATATTAGATGTCCCAGCCTTCAGGACTATGAGAAATAAATTTTTTTTATTTATGAATTATCCAGTCTGTGAAATTCTGTTATAGCAATACGAAATGGACTAAGACATGAGGGGAAGGATGATAAACAGGAAAAACATGGATGTTTCCTTCCACCAACCACTGTAGCCCCTTGCACATGGTTTAATCAAAACCCAACCAACTGAATTTTTAGGGCCAGCAACTGATTCGGTTCTTTAAAGGTAAATTATGTATGTAGACATACATAAAAATGCATCTTAAAATTTTCAACTTTGTCATAAAGAACTTCAATTAAAATATAGCTCATTCAACAAGCTGCCTTAGCACCTAGACATATGGACCCGTTCCACAAAGTGTTTAAGAGTCTCTGAGTCACTCATTACTTGCTGATAAATTAAAGACTAATAAAGACCCTCCTGAGAGGCAAATGATATAGAAGTGACGGTCCACCAGTCTAAGAATGCAAACTATACTAAGAAAGCTAAAATGGGCAATAAAGGGAATTTCCTGTACCTGTCTTATTATGGTTATTTAAGCTCACTAGATGATCAAAGTGATGCAAGTCAAGTCTGCAAAACCAGGGCTGACACAGCCTCAGCTTCCGAGAGCTTGGGTCTGACTGCAACAGTTTAACACTTGCAGGTAACAAAAGTATGATTTTGGAATATAGAGAACATTCCTCTAAACGGGTCATGTATTGTCAGTTCCTAACTCAGCTAAGAGATTTTGGCTCATAAAGATACGTTTCCTGCAGTTAAGACGCTCCATGCTCAGGTGGCAGTAAGGTATCTTGATCACCTTTTTCAAGGTCACTCTTTGTTCTGGTTAAAACCAATTTCGGCTGTGAGCATTCCTTTAGGAGTTCATGTATTTACTCGTTTGTTTTTTTATTGTCGGGATTTGGGAGAGATGCAGAGGAAGGAGTTTCCTCTCCCAGACACCAGAGCTAAGAAGACGTGATTCTAGGAAAACTTCTCCATCTTGGCTGTATACTGTATTACAATTATCTGGAAAGCTCAAAACAAACAAAAAATATCAAGTTTAGTTTGAACTCTGGAGGTGGGACCCTGGTACCTAAATGCTCTAAAAGCGCCCCAAATTACTCGAACGTATGGCAGGTGCTACCAGAGTTAAGAACCATCTAGCATGGTTTCCCTGTATGTCATTAGTTTTGTGGCATCCTCTCCGGGAGGTACGGCCTCACAGTGCGCCTCAAACATCAGTGCGCCCGAGCGTCACCTGAGGCGCTGTTTCAAATGCAGCTGCCCAGGCTAGTAGATCACACCCGAAGGTTTCCAGGAATCTTCACTTTTTCGGTTGGAAGTAGTGGAAGGGTCACAGGCCAAGCGCTAAGGCCTAAGCAGTGACAACCGAGGCAAGATGATGGTCAACTGGAAATGCCTCGAAGGAGAAAAAAGACAATTTTGTGAGTACACACCCCCTAAAACCTGTTTTCTGTTGGCTTCCCCCTCCTCTGGGCAGTTTTGACCCAGACGACTTCATAAAGAAGGTGACGTGAGTGTGCCCAGGGGTGTGGCGCTGGGTGTGGGCTGTTCGGGAACATTCCCTCGGGGCGGAACGTGGGACGGGCGTTACCCCTCAGGTACCCTTTCCCCACCGCCACTTCTCCGCTCCGCTGCTCAGGCGCCAGCTCCCGCGCCCGACGGCGGGAAGGGGGCGCACGCTGGCGTTCCTGCTCTCGCCGAGGGGCGGCCGCTAACCGAAAGCGCGCACCGCGGAGCCGGGAGTCCGCGCGGCCCCGGTCTCGCCTTTCCGCGCTCGCGGCGCCGCCTCCTCCCTTCGCGCCGCCGGCGCTTCCCGGGGGCGGGGCCTCGCCGCTGCGGAGGCCGGGGACGCGGCGGCGCTGGGCGCTGGTAGCACGGCGCGGAGCCGGCCGGCTGCGGAGGGAGAGCGGCCCAGGCGGCCTCATAGCGGCGCCCCGCATAGCCGAGCGGCGGCCGGAGCCGCGGAAAGAGGTGAGTGGGCGGCGCGCGGCCCAAACCGCGGTCCCTCCCTTCCTCCCTCTGCCCCGGGCCCATGCCCCGTGCCCAGCGCCCCGAGACCTCGCGTCGGTCCCCGGACCCTCCCCGCGGCTTGCGCCGGGGCTGCCGCCTTCGCTGGCTGCGCTCGGGGCTGGCTCCGCACCTTCCCACACCGAGCAGCCTGCGGCCGCCGGGGCCCTTCGGCTCGCTCCCCAAGGCCGGGCGCGCGCCCCCCTGGCCCTGCGATGAGGGGTCTCGCGAGGATTCTGTGCCCTGCAGTCTCAGGCGATGCGGGGCCTTTCTTTTCGTTGTGAGCTCTGTCACGCGCGTCGGCATCCAAAGTCAAAAGCGTGCGCCCCCAAAGTCGCACTAGTTCCAGTTCTGCGCGGCGTGATTTGCACGAGGCGTGGAGGGTTAGTCGAGCCGCCAGCCTCTCCGCTCCCGCCGCCTCTTCCTCCCCTGCAGCCCCAGGCGCACTCCGGCCGCCGCGGGGTCCACGTTACCGCGGGGCCTCCTGGCTGGTGGCTCCGGAGCTTGGCATCACGTTCTCCCGCCGCGCCGCCAGAGCGCGGCTGCAGCCGGTTCTCGCGGATGCTCGGGGTTTTCCCGCATACCTGCGTTTCCACCTTTGCCAGCGTAGAGGTTCCACACAACTTTGCCCTGTTGTAAAAAATCACATCCTATTTAATATTTTGTTTGTTTTCATTCAGGTCCTATTTTATATTTTTAATGATTTGTTTTTAAGAAGCAAAATGCGAAGAATATCAATTTTGATGAGTATTTTTTTAGCAGAATTTAAGATTTTTTTTTTTTTTTTTTTCCGAAGGAAAGAAAAAGAGAAAGAAAGGGGGAGAGAGAATAGGAGTCTTGTTCTATTGCCCAGGCTGGAATGCAATCTAAAAATAGGTATTAAAAACCTCTTTCATGCCGTTAATTGTACTTAACAGTGGAGACAGGAAGGAATAAGGGAAGAAAATAACAAACAGGTAACCAATATTTCATTTAAGACTGTGAAATGCTATGCAAATGCTGAAGAGTGATTTACTTCCAATTATGTGGTCGCTTTCAAAATAGGTGTAATGTGATACTGAGAAAAATGTATGTTCTGTGGACCTGGTGTGAAGAATTCTATATTCACTGAGTTTACCTGTTCCAGGTCTGAGTTCAAATCATAGATGTTCTTGTTAATTTTCTATCTCGTTGATCAGTGGAATATTAACAGTGTGGTGTCAAAGTCTCCCGCTATTACTGTGCGGGAGTCCAAGTCTCTTTATAAGTCATTAAGAACTTATGTATCTGGGTGTTCCTATATTGGGTGCATATATGTCTATGATCATTGACTACTGTTGTTGCATTGATCCTTTTACCGTTATATAATGTCCTTTGTTTCTTTTAGTCTTTGTTACTATTAAAGTCTATTTTGTCAGAGACAAAAGTTGCAACTCCTGATTTTTTTTCTCTCCATTTGATTGATAGGTCTTCCATCAATCCTTTGTTTTGAGTCTTTGTGTGTCCTTGCTTATAAGATGGATCTGGGTACAGCTTACTGATGGGTTTTGACTTTTTATTCAATTTGCCTGTCTGTGTCTTTGGGGCATTTAATTCATTTTAATTTAGGATTAATATTGATATTTGTGAGTTTAATATTGTCGTTTAATGCTAGCTGGCTATTTTTCCCGTTAGTTGATAGAGATTCTTCATTATGGAGATACTCTTTACCTTTTGGTAAGTTTTTGGGATGACTGATACTGGTTGTTCCTTTCTGTGTATAGTGCTTCTTTCAGAAGCTCTTGTAAAGCAGGCCTGGTGGTAATGAAATCTCTGAGTGCTTGCTTGTTCGTGAAAAATTTTATTTTTCTTTCATTTATGAAGCTTAGTTTGGCTGGATTTGAGATTCTGGGTTGAAAATTCTTTTTGAGGATATCGAATATTGCCCCCCACTCTCTTGTAGTTTGTAGGGTTTCTGCTGAGCTATCTGCTGTGAGTCTGATAGGCTTCCCTTTATGGGTAACCTGACCTTTCTCTCTAGCTGCCCTTAGAATTTTCTCCTTTATTTGAACCCTGGTGAATCTAATGATTATGTGTCTTGGGGTTGCTCTACTTGAGGAATACCTTTGTGGTGTTCTCTGTATTACCTGGAGTTGAGTATTGTCCTGCGTTACTAGGTTAGGAAAGTTTTCCTGAATAGTATTCTGAAGAGTATTTTCGAGCTTGGATTCATTCTCTTCATGACATTCAGGTACACCTATCAAACGTAGATTAGGTCTTTTCACATAATCCCATATTTATTGGAGACTTTGCTCATTCCTTTTTACTCTTTCTTCTCTAATCTTGTCTTCTCGTTTCATTTCATTAAGTTGGTCTTCAACCTCTGATATCCTTTCTTCTGCTTAATCAATTAGACTATTAAAACCTGTGCATACTTTGCAGCGTTCTCGTATTGTATTCTTCAGTTCCATTAATTCACTTATATTCCTCCCTAAATTGTCTATTCTTGTTAGGATTTAGTCAGACTTTTTTCAAGGTTCTTAGTTTCTTTAAATTGGGCTAGAATATGTTCTTTTAACTCACGGAAGTTTCTTATTATCCGCCTTCTGAAGCCCGATTCTGTTAATGGGATGTACTCCTTCTCCACCAGGCCTTGTTCCCTTGTTGATGAGGCACTATGATTCCCTTGTAGAGGGAGAGGCATTCTGATTTTGGGTATTTTCAGCCTTTTGATGCTGGTTTCTTCCCATCATTGTAAATTTATCCACCTGTCGTCTTCGTAATTACCGACTTTCTAATTAGGTCTCTGAGTGGACGTCCAACTTGTTGGTTCCCAATGCCTGAATCTGAGCAACCCACTGCACCGGCTAAAACAGCGGCATTAAGATTCATGGTGCTTTTCTGCCCAGGAATCTCCGGCCTGGCTTCCTTCTTGAGTCCCTTTTTCAATCAGCTGAATAGGCGACTCTGCCTTCCCGGAGCTCCAAATGTTGACCAAAAGGGGACCCAGTCCCGTTTACGCTGCACTGAGAACCGCCACGCCGGCCACAAGAGTTATGCTGGCAACCTGTGGGGCTCCTCTGCTGGGAATCTCCTGGTCTGTGAGCAACAAAAATTCATCTGAAAGTGTGGCGTTCTCTCGTTCTTTGTGCTTTCGTTGGGAGCTACAATCCTGAGCTGCTAGTAATCAGCCATCTTGGATCTCTCTCAAGAAATCTTATATTTGAAATACCATAATGATGCTGGGCAATTTCAGATGTCCTATAGCCAGATATGCAAAACTAAACTTGTGTGACTTTCACGGTTTTGAGGTTTCCTTTGTCTGATTTGGGGTCCTTAGGCCCTCCATTATGCAAATTATTGAGGAACATTTCTAGGCCTGGATTAGTGAGGTGTGCAATCACCTGATGAAGTATTTAGCAGTGCTTGAGTGGCTTTGTTTAGCTTGTGGCTATCAGATTGGCTCAATTCTCACAGTTTTAGTATTTCTGAATTTTGGAGGGCATTGGCCAATCTCGTCGGTTTTTGTGGGTCTCCAAAGGCATCCTGGCTTCTTCCAGTTGTGTTATAAAAGATGAAGCTAAGCTCATGCTATTGGAAAGAATACTTTTACTTTCTTTCCAAATAGAAACTAGCAACTTGCTAAGACTTACTGTTCTTAGGCCAGACACTCAATTCTTAAGGTGTCTGTGAACAAAAAGAAATTGAATTCTTAGGATGTTTTAAAGAGGTTAGCTTTTAAGACATACTTTATTCTCCTATGGAGAGGTTATCCAATTTTCACTTTAAAAAAAAAAGTTTGTTTTACACAAAAATGAAAGAAATAAGAGGAAAGGAGTGCTGAGGGTAGGGCCAGGAGATTGTGGTGACTTGGATATGAGGGGCTAAGGATACCATCTGCTTCCTAATTGCTGATTTAGGTCCAGTTATTGATGGGAAATGAAAAGATTTTGCATTGACATTCCACTCGATTTTGCTGCTGCTGCTGCTGCTGTTGAAGGTGGGGCAGAAACAGCAGTTAGGCCTGGGGCTACCCTTATACATTTGGCCACCTTCCCCAGGAGGGAGGGAACTGTTACCCTTATCCTGTGCAAGTGCGAGCTGGCTTTCTGCATTGGAACTACAAAGGGTGGAACCTGGGGAAAATGCCTCTGTGTGGACCAGTGGGGAGGGTGGAAGCATCACTTTAGGCAGGTGCGCTGAGCAGGAGACAGGTGTCAGTTGATGGGCACTGTTGGTGAAAGGGAGCTTGAGGTACAGCGCCTTTTCTCAAAGGACCTGGGGTGGTCATTGTGGTGGGGTGTGGGGGGGGGGTGTTCTGTGCCTTTGGCTTAAATTCTGCAGCGTTATTACTGTTTTTTTCTTTAAAAAAAAAAAAGTTGCCCCATGAAAAAAGATACATTTTTCAGTGACCTAATGTGAGAAATAACCTCTGTAATTGGGATTTTCTTTAAAGCACTTCTATTTTTGTACAACAAAACAAGTTTTTAAACATTTGTAAATAAATAAAAAAAAAGTAGAAGGAATGGTCCTATATACTTTTGCTTTCATCTTAGAAAAAGGTGAATATTTCACTTGCTCCCCAAAAACTGTTCTTAAAGATCATGGTTTTCTGGACTTTTCAAGTTATTGATGAAGTTACATTAAAAAGGGAGACTTGTCCCCAAATCTCCGAAGTGTTTCTTAAATCTCCAGAGAGTGTTTCCTTTCCTTCACATAGATATTTCTCACACTTTCAGGAAAAAAAGTCCATGCCTTCTCAGATTTTAACATTTTGATCTTACTTTCCTTTAAAACCTTTAAGTGTTTTGTTAATAGGGGTTCCCCTTGCTAAGATTTTGAAGATTAATTAGTGCCTGACAGAAAACAATACATATATAAATACTGTATGATTACAGTTGTTGATACTGTAATTTGCTATTGTTTCTCAACTTTTTTTGATGTTTCTCATTAGTAATAAAACTTTTTTAAACACTCTCCTGTATGTGCATTTGTTTCTTATTTATAAATTACATGTATTTGTTGTTATAATTATATTGTATCTCAAGGCCCAATATACACATAGGGCTGGATTCATTGTTAATAACATTAGAGGTGGAATCCCTGTTTTAAATACTTTCTCTTAACTTTAAGTATTTTGGGCCTGTGTCTTGTCAGATCTGATTACATCACCGTAGTTTCTACTTCATGATGTATGTGATGGAAGGCTTTCTCAGTACAGAGCTTTGCCAGCCATGGCCTTATGCTCTCCTGTGTTTGCATTTATTAGTAAACAGATCTCTGATTTGGTAGGTCGGGGGTGGGCCACAAAATTTACATTTCTGACCCATTCCGAGGTGATGCTGATGCTGCTAATACGGGGACCACACTTTAAGAAACATTGAACTACAGCAGGAATTGATAACCTGTTTCTGAAAAGGGCCAGATACTGTTGTAGGCATTGCAGACCCTATGGTCTCTGTCACAGTTACTCAGCTCTGCTGTTATAGCTCAATCCCACAGAAAATGTATAAATGAATGGGCATAGTTGTGTTCCAGTAAAACTTTATGGATACCGAAGCTTTAGTTTCATGTAATTTTCATGTGTCATGAGATATTCTTTTATTTCCAAACCAAAAAAAAAAAACCCTATCTATTGAGCAATTATGTGGTGTGTGCTGTATTGTCATTGTAATTTTTAATCCTAACAACAAAAGGTTTTACAAATGTGAAGTCTCATATGACTGCATCCTAGAACTTGGGGATAATTGTAAGCCTACTTCAATGGACTTTTACAAGGATTGAATAAGATACAGAGAGATTGTACAACTCACCAAAATTTAGGTAGATAATAAAGCTAGGATTGAAACTCCATTTGGCCTGCCCCCATCAATGCTTTTTTCCTAAGCCACACTGCCTCAGCAGTACCAGTAAGGAAACATTTAACATATAGCTAAACTGACATCTAATATCACTTCATGGCATCCAGATTCTCCAAGGACAACTGAACCAGGAGTCCCCTGCCAGGTCAGTCTCCATCCCTCTATCAGTAGGTCTGTGTGGGGCTTGGGGAACACTGCAAGTTTCAGCTGGTTCTCAGTTCTCCTTGGTTTTCAGTCCTGCCGGGCTCTTTTGGGTCTTCTGCATGTACGTATAATCTTCTAGCCAGCCAGGAATATGTGGAGAATTTATCTCAGCCCTTTGTAGTTGTAGCACTCGCTCATGAAATATTATTTTAACTTTTTCAATCATTGAAAATGTAAAAACTGGCTAGGTGCGGTGGCTCATTCCTGTAATCCCAGCACTTTGGAAGGCTGAAGTGGGCGGATCACTTGAAGTCAGCAGTTTGAGACCAGCCTGGCCAACATGGTGAAACCCCATCTCTACTTAAAAAAAAAAACAAAAAACAAAAATTAGCTGGGCATGATGGCATGCATCTATAATCCCAGCGACCTGGGAGGTTGAGGCATGTGAATCGCTTGAACCCAGGACGCAGAGGTTACAGTGAGCTGAGATTGTGCGACTGACTGCATTCCAGCCTGGGTGACAGAGCGAGACTTTGTCTCAAAAAAAAAAACTTAAGAACTATTTTGCTGGGCATGGTGGCTCACGCCTATAAGCCCAGCACTTTGGGAGGCCGAGGCTGGTGAATCATGAGGTCAAGAGATCGAGACCATCCTGGTCAACATGGTGAAACCCCGTCTCTACTAAAAATACAAAAATTAGCTGGGCATGGTGGTGCATGCCTGTAGTCCCAGCTACTTGGGAAGCTGAGGTGGGAGAATTGCTTGAACCCAGGAGGCGGAGGTTGCAGTGAGCCAAGATCATGCCATTGCACTCCAGCCTGAGTAACAAGAGCGAAACTCCATCTCAAAAAAAAACAAACTATTTTTAATTTGTGGGCAGTGTACAAAAAATGGATGGCTGGCAGGATTGGGCTCTTGGGCTGAGTTTGTGACTGCTGAATTCAAGGAAAAATTGAGCTACCAAAATGTATTCTTTTTTAAAAATAATTTTTTATAGAGACAGGGTCTCCTATTGGTCTCAAATTCCTGGGCTTAAGTGATCCTCCTACCTCAGCCTCCCAAAGTGCTGGGATTGCAGACATGAGCCACCATGTTGGCCCCAGGATATATTCTTGATGGTAGGTGGCCTTTCTTCAGAAAATTTCAAAACAGGAAGAATTCGGTTCCCTTGTTCATTTTCACTCATCTGCCTCGCTTTTTGGTGTTTCTACCACCTAACACTATACATTCATTTTAAAAGCTTTAGTCTTTAGATACTGTTGGCTTCCAGCATTGGGAAAAAGATGGTGTTCATTTTGGGGAAGTGAGAGGAAGAGATTCTGTATTTCCTGGTAAGTTTTTAAAGTAATTTAAGCAGAACACAGTGACCTTAGTCATGTAATCCCAATGGGTTAGAGGCAGAGTTGACAAACTTTTTCTAAACGGTCAGATGGTAAATGTTTAGTCCTCATAAGACCCAGTGGGCAGGGTTGGTCTGTGGGTAGGTCTCTGTCTCAGCTATTAAGTTCTACTTTGTAATCAGAAAGCCGCTATAGGCAGTATTTATGGCTGTGTACAGTAAAACTTTAAAAAAACAGGCCCAGATAGAGCCTGTGGGCCCAAGTTTGCTCACCCCTGGGTTAGAGATATTCTCGGAACAGGGTGGAATGTTTCCAAACCATCAGAAAACTTGGTGACTGATTTCTTTCCAGACTCCAGGGCTGCGCTGGTGTGTGCTCAGGTGTGCTTGCTCATTGCAGTGACTTCCTGCTGAGCCGCTCTGCGTGGACTTTCAGGCAGGGCCGTTCCTCTGAGAAGGAGTAGAGGTGTGGCTCCACCACTCTTTGGAGAACCCCAGTTTCTACACTGGTTGACGTTGGTCAAACATGCTAATTTGATCTGATTGCTCCCATATATTTACTTTTCTGATTAAAAGCCCTGTTGTATAGAAATAAGGAAATACTAAAATGGTAATATTTAACTAGGCAGGTCAAGGAGCTCGTGCATTTGGCATGTTGTCCATTTTCATATGCCTTTTCTTTCTTTTTAAAAAAGTAATTAGAAGTTTTTGTGAAATTACATTTTGTCTTACAAGCAAATAATAATTTTAACCAATAGGTTTAAATTTTAAATTAATTAAACCAGTAGGTAAAAATATGCAGTTTTTTCTTTTCTGATTTATCAAGTGATTTATTTTTTTTTGACAGTCTCACTCTGTCACCCAGGCTGGAATGCAGTGACATGATCTCGGCTCACTGCAACCTCCGTTTTTTGGGTTCAAGCAATTCTCATGCGTTAGCCTCCCAAGTAGCTGGGATTACAGGTATGTGCCACCACACCCAACTAATTTTTTGTTTTTGTTTTTTTTTTTTTTTTTTTGAGATGATGTCTTGTTCTGTCGCCCAGGCTGGAGTACAGTGGTGCAGTCTCAGCTGATTGTAACCTCTGCCTTCTGAGTTCAAGCAATTCTCTTGCCTCAGCCTCCCGAGTAGCTGGGATTACAGGTGCACGCCAGCACACCTGGCTAATTTTTATAGGTTTAGTAGAGACAGGGTTTTGACATGTTGGCCAGGCTGGTCTTGAACTCCTGGCCTCAGGTGATCTGCCTGCTTTGGCCTTCCATAGTTCTGGGATTACAGGCGTGAACCACTGTACACACCCAGCCTATCAAGTGATTTTTAATGCAAAAGCACACAACTTGTTTTTATTTCAGGGAAGCCTGAAGTCTCACAGAGTTTAGCTGATTAAAGTTAATCATTTTCAGTATGTTGGATGCTTAAAATCAAGTATGAGAAAAAAATATTCTGAAGCTTAAATGAAAATGAATATTAAATTAATACATTTGTTGGATATAGTATATCACCCACTTCTATCTCATCCCTGATCCACATAAATTCTAAGGTGGGAGAAGGGAGAGTGTCTGATGTATTTGACTACTGTAAACTCTGCCTCTGAGTTCCTGCCCTTGGCCTTCGTCAATCTTGATAATTTCTCACCAGTATCTGTCCCTCATGATCCAGCAGCAAGGGTTTCTACAGTCCTGGAAGCCAGTGAGGAAGTGCCTTGCAGGCCTGAAGGCTCATCGTGTTACCTCCTTTCCTTGTGTCACTGCTTACATGGGCAGCCCTGCTCCCATTGGGGGCCCAGGGCTCTCCTAAGAGTGCTGTCTAGACAGCTGCTTACCTTCCTGACCAGCCAAGCACTGGGTCACAGTGAGGGGCTTCCAGAACTGTATGACTTCCAGGACTGTTTGAGGTTTGGCTTCCTTAAACCTTTTTCATAATATGTTCCTGGTCTGGGACATCCACTACTGAAGTGGCATCCATAGGTCAGCCCCAGGTAATGGCAGTTACCGCTGTTTTAGTTGGTGGCAGACTCAGGAGGAGGAAAGAGGAGGGCTGGTTACTATCAAGTAGAATGGTTATGAAAGGAAAACATACATCACTGTTTCCCCATAAAATGGAAAAAAATTGAAAATAGAAATGATCTGTAATACATCTTTCCATCCCTAATAATTATCAACATTTATTGAACAATAACCATCTGCCAAATGTAGCATATGGTTACATGTAGCATATTCACTTAACTCTGAATCCTCATAAAAAGCATGTGAGGAGGACAGTGAGGCACAGGCAGGACCTATGTCCCCTGAGTCGTGGAGCCAGGGTTAGACATGGCTGTGGGGTTCCAGTCTGTGCTCTTAACACCACCCTGAGGTGCCTGATGTGAATATAGCACCTGACTCATGGTAGCTGCTCAATACATTTTTTATTAGCTGTCTAAAGGAAAGAGAACACCCCTTGAAGTGAGAATTGAATTTACCTCTGCTTTGAAACTTAGAGTAGACCCCACCTACTGACTTAATATCTGCTGGAATAACAAAAGCTCTTGCAAGGGTCATATCTAAAAGTATTTTGTAAACCAGGCATGGCAGTGTGTGCCTATGGTCCCAGCTTCTTGGAGACTGTGGCGTGAGGATTGCTTGGTCCCAGGAGTTCAAGGCTGCAGTGAGCCATGATCGTACCACTGCACTTGTGCCTGGGTGACAAAGCAAGATTCCACCTCTTTAGAAAAAAGTATATCATTAGAGAATTTAGTACATAACAAAGATAGTTGTTCAAAGCAGTAGGTAAAAATAGATTATTCAGTAAAGGGCACTGGAAGAACTGGCTTGTCACTACAGGGGAAAAAACCCTGCATTCTTTGTATTTCCTTTTTTTTTTTTCCTTTTTGTTTTTTGTGTTTCCTTACTCCTTACATCAAAAAGGAATTTCAAATGGATGAACAATTTAAATGTAAATATGAAACTGTATCTTGGAAACAAATGTGGGTGTGTTTATAAACTTAGAGTAGGAAATGTCCTTCTAAATTTAACAACAATTGAGAACTAATAAAAGATTGACAAGATTAGGTTATTTAAAACAACAACAGGGTGTCTGGCAAGATGGTTGAATAGGAACAGCTCTGGTCTGCAGCTCCCAGTGAGATCAACACAGAAGACCAGTGATTTCTGCATTTCCAACTGAGGTATCTGGCTTATCTCATTGGTACAGGTTAGACAGTGGGTGCAGCCCATGCACGGAAGGTGAGCAGAAGCAGGGTGGGGCATTGCCTCACCTGGGAAGTGCAAGAGGTTGGGGAATGCCCTCCCCTAGCCACGGGAAGCTGTGAGGGACCATGCCATGAGGGATGGCACATTCTGGCCTACATACTACACTTTTTCCATGTTCTTCGCAACCCACAGACCAAGATTCCCCCAGGTGCTTCTGCCACCAGGGCCCTGGGTTTCAAGCACAAAACTGGGAGGCCGTTTGGGTAAACGCTGAGCTTAGCTCCAGGAGTTTTTTTTTTTTTTCCCATACCTCCATGGTGCCTGGAACACCAGTGAGACAGAACTGTTCACTCCCTTGGAAAGGAGGCTGAAGCCAGGGAGCCAAGTGGTCTTCCTCAGTGAATCCCACCCCCAGGGAGCCCAGCAAGCCAAGATCCACTTGTTTGAAAATCTTCCTGCCAGAACAACAGTCTGAAGTCAACCTAGGACACTCCAGCTTGGTGGGGGGAGGGGCGTCCACCATTACTGAGGCTTGAGTAGGTGGTTTTCCCCTCAAGTGTAAACAAAGCCTATGAGAAGCTTGAACTGGGTGGAGCCCACCGCAGTTTGGCAAAGCTGCTGTAGTCAGACTGCCTCTGTAGATTCTTCCTCATTGAGCAGGGCATCTTTGAAAGTAAAGCAGCAGCCCCATTCAAGGGCTTATAGATAAAAACTCCCATCTCCCTGGAGCAGAGCACCTGGGGGAAGAGGTGGCTGTGGGTGCAGCTTCAGCAGGCTTAAATGTTCCTGCCTGCTGGCTCTGAAGAGAGCAATGGATCTCCCAGCATGGCACTTCAGATCTGCTAATGGACAGACTCCCTCTTCAAGTGGGTCCCTGACCCCCATGCCTTCTGACTGGGCGATACCTCCCAGTAGGGGTCAAATAGACACCTCACATAGGAGAGCTCTGGCTGATATCTGGCCAATACTCCTCTGGGACAAAGTGTCCCAGGGAAGGAACAGGCAACAGTCTTTGCTGTTTTGCAGCCTCTGCTGATGATAACCAGGCAAACAGAATCTGGAGTGGACTTTGTACAAATCTGCAGCAGAGGGGCCTGTTGAAGGAAGACTACCAAATGGAAAGGAATAGCATCAACATCAACAAAAAGGATGTCCACACAGAAACCCCATCTGAAGGTCACCAGCATCAAAGACAAAAGCTTGATAAATCCATGAAGATAAGGAAAAACCAAGCGCAAAAAAGCTGAAAATTCCAAAAATCAGAACACTTATTCTACTCCAAAGGATCACAACTCCTTGCCAGCAAGAGAACAAAACTGGACAGGGAATGAGTTTGATGAACTGATGGAAGTAAGCTTCTGAAGATGGGTAATAACAAAGTCTTCCGAGTTAAAGGAGCATATTCTAACCCAATGCAAGGAAGCTAAGAACCTTGAAAAAAGGTTAGAGGAATTGCTAACTAGAATAACTGGTTTAGAGAAGAACATAAATGACCTGATAGAGCTTAAAAACACAGCACGAGAACTTCATGAAGCATACACAAGTATCAATAGCCAAATCAATGAGGTGGAGAAAGGATATCAGAGATTGAAGATCAACTTAATGAAATAAAGCTCAAAGACAAGATTGGAGAAAAATAATGAAAAGGAATGGACAAAGCCTCCAAGAAATATGGGACTATGTGAAAAGACCAAACCTGTGTTTGATTGGTATGCCTGAAAGTGATGGGGAGAATGGAACCAAGTTGGAAAACACTCTTAAGCATATTATCCAGGAGAACTTTCCCAACCTAGCAAGACAGGCCAAGATTCAAATTCAGGAAATACAGAAAACACCGCAAAGATACTCCTTGAGAAGAGCAACCCCAAGACACATAATTTTCAGATTTACCAAGGTTGAAATGAAGGAAAAAATGTTAAAGGCAGCCAGAGAGAAAGGTTGGGTTACCCACAAAGTGAAGCGCATCAGACTAACAATGGATATCTCTGTAGAAACTCTACAAGCCAGAAGACAGTGGGGACCAATATTCAACATTCTTAAAGAAAAATATTTTCAACTGGGCATGATAGCTCACACCTATAATCCCAGCACTTTGGGAGGCTGAGGCAGGCGGATCGCCTGAGGTCAGGAGTTTGAGACCAGCCTGACCAACATGGAGAGACCCCATCTATACTAAAAATACAAAATTCGCTGGGTGTGATAGCACATGCCTGTAGTCCCAGCTACTCAGGAAGCTGAGGCAGGAGAATTGCTTGAAGCTAGTAGGCAGAGGTTGCAGTCAGCTGAGATTGTGCCATTGTACTCCAGCCTGGGCAACAAGAGTGAAACTCTGATTTAAAAAAAAAAAATTATAACCCAAAATTTTATATCCAGTCAAACTAAGCTTCAAAAGTGAAGGAGAAATAAAATCCTTTACAGACAAGCAAATGCTGAGAGATTTTGTCACCACCAGGCCTGCTTTACAAGAGCTCCTGAAGGAAGCACTAAATATGAAAAGGGAAAAACTGGTACTAGCCACTCCAAAAACATATGAAATTGTAAAGACCATTGACACTATGAAGAAACTGCATCAACTTATGGGCAGAATAACCAGCTAGTATCATAATGACAGGATCAAATTCACATGTAACAATATCAACCTTAAATGTAAACGGGCTGAATGCCCCCAGTTAAAAGACACAGACTGGCAAGTTGGATAAAGAGTCAAGACCCATCAGTGTGCTGTATTCAGGAGCCCCATCTCATGTGCAAACACACACACAGGCTCAAAATGCAGGGATGGAGGAAGATTTACCAAGCAAATGGAAAGCAAAAAAAAGCAGGGGTTGCAATCCTAGTCTCTTATCAGACTTATCAAACAGACTTTAAACAAAGATCAAAAAAGATAAAGAAAGACATTATATAATGGTAAAGGGATCAATGTAACAAGAAGAGCTAACTATCCTAAATATATATGCAACCCAATAAAGGAGCACCCAGATTCATAAAGCAAGTTCTTAGAGATCTACAAAGAGACTTAGACTTTCACACAATAATAGTGGGAGACTTTAACACCCCACATCAATATTAGATCAATGAGACAGAAAATTAACAAGGATATTCAGGACTTAAACTCAGCTCTGGACCAAGTGGATCTAATAGACATCTGTAGAACTCTCCACCTCAAATCAACAGAATATAGATTCTTCTCAGCACTACATCACACCTATTCTAAAACTGACCACATAATTTCAGGTAAAACACTCCTCAGCAAATGCAAAAGAATGGAAATCATAACAGTCCTGTCAGACCACAGGGCAGTCAAATTAGAACTCAGGATAAAGAAACTGAAAACAGCACAACTACATAGAAACTGAACAACCTGCTCCTGAATGACTACTGGGTAAATAATGAAATTAAGGCAGAAATACATAAGTTATTTGAAATCAGTGAGAACAAAGATACAATGTACCAGAATCTCTGGGACACAGCTAAAGCAGTGTTTAGAGGGAAATTTATAGCACTGAATGCCCACAGAAGAAAGCAGGAAAGATCGAAAATTGACACCCTAACATTACAAATAAAAGAACTAGAGAAGTAAGAGCAAACAACTTCAGAAGCTAGAAGGCAAGAAATAACTAAGATCATCCCAGCACTTTGGGAGGCCGAGGTGGGTAGACCATGAGGTCAAGAGATTGAGGCCATCCTGGTCAACATGGTGAAGCCCTGTCTCTACTAAAAATATAACAAATTAGCTGGGCATGGTGGTGCATGCCTGTAATCCCAGCTACTCAGGAGACTGAGGCAGGAGAATTGCCTGAACCTGGGAGGCGGAGGTTGCAGTGAGCCGAGATCACGCCATTGCACTCCAGCCTGGGTAACGAGAGCGAAACTCCATCTCAAAAAAACAAAAAACAAAACAAAAAAAAACCTAAGATCAGAGCAGAACTGAAGGAGATAGACACACGAAAAACCCTTCATGAAAATCAGTGAATCCAGGAGCTGGTTTTTTGAAAACATTAACAAAATAGACTGCTAGCCAGACTAATAAGAAAAGAGATAAGTATCAAATAGACACAATAAAAAATGATAAAGGGGAGATCACCACTGATCTGACAGAAATACAGACTACCATCAGAGAATACTACAAACATCTCTATGCAAATAAACTAGAAAATCTAGAAGAAATGGATAAATTTCTGGACACATACACCCTCTCAAGATTAAACCAGGAAGAAGTCAAATTCCTGAATAGACCAATAACAAGTTTTGAAATTGAGGCAGTAATTAATAGCCTACCTACCAAAAAAAGCCAAGGACCAGATAGATTCACAGCTGAATTCTACCAGAGTTACAAAGAGGAGCTCGTACCATTCCTATGAAACTTCTAAACAATAAAAAAAGAGGGACTCCTCCCTAACTCATTTTATGAGGCCAGCATCATCCTGATACCAAAATCTGGCAGAGACACAACAAAACAAGAAAATTTCAGGCCAATATCCCTGGTGAACATCAATGCAAAAATCCTCAATAAAATACTAGCAAACTGAATCCAGCAGCACCCTAAAAGCTTATCCACCATAATCAAGTTGGCTTCATCCCTCGAATGCAAGACTGGTTCAACATATGCAAATCAATGAACGTAATCTATCATGTAAACAGAACCAATGACAAAAACCGCATGGTTTTCTCAATAGATGCAGAAAAGGCCTTCAATAAAATTCAACACCCCTTCATGCTAAAAACTCTCAATAAATTAGATATTGATAGAATAAAGCTCAAAATAAGAGCTATTTATGACAAACCCACAGCTGGTGTCATACTGAATGGGCAAAAGCTGGAAGCATTCTTTTTGAAAACTAGCACAAGACAAGGATGCCCTCTCTCACCACTACTATTCAACATGGTATTGGACATCCTGGCAATTGGCAAGGGAAAGAAAACGTATTCAAATAGGAAGAGAGGAAGTCATATTGTCTCTGATTACAGATGACATGATTGTATATTTAGAAAACTCCATCATCTCAGCCCAAAATCTCCGTAAGCTGATAAGCAACTTCAGCAAAGTCTCAGGATACAAAATTAATGTGTAAAAATCACAAGCATTCCTATACATCAATAATAGAGAGCCAAATTACCAGTGAACTCCCATTCACAGTTGCTATAAAGAAAGTAAAATACCTAGGAATATAACTTAGAAGGGATGTGAAGGACCTCTTCAAGGAGAACTAGAAACTACTGCCCAAATAAACAAGAGAGGACACAAACAAATGGAAAAACATACCATGCTCATGGATAAGAAGAATCAATATTGTGAAAATGGCCAAACTGCCCAAAGTGGTTTATAGATTCAGTGCTATCCTCATCAAGCTACCATTGATTTTTTTCACAAAATTAGGAAAAGAACTACTTAAAATTGGCCGGCACAGTGGCTCAAGCCTGTAATCCCAGCACTTTGGGAGGCCGAGGCGGCTGGATCATGAGGTCAAGAGATCGAGACCATCCTGGTCAGCATGGTGGAACCCTGTCTCTACTAAGAATACAAAAAAAGATTAGCTGGGCATTGTGGTGCGTTCCTGTTATCCTGGCTGCTTGGGTGGCTGAGGCAGGGGAATTGCCGGAACCCAGGAGGTGGAGGTTGTGGTCAGCCGAGATCGCACCATTGCACTCCAGCCTGGGTAACAAGAGTGAAACTCTGTCTCAAAAAAAAAAAAAAAAACTACTTAAAATTTCACATGGAACCAAAAAAAGAGTCCTTATAGCCAAGACAATCCTAAACAAAAAGAACAAAGCTGGAAGCATCTTGCTACCTGACTTATACTACAAGGCTACAGTAACCAAAACAGCATGATACTCGTACCAAAACAAATACATAGACCAATGTAACAGAACAGAGGCCTCAGAAATAATGCCAGACATCTACAACCATCTGATCTTTGACAAACTTGACAAAACAAGCAATGGGGAAAGGATTCCCTATTTAATAAATGGTGTTGGGAAAACTGGCTAGCCATATGCAGAAAACTGAAACTGGACCCCTTCCTTATACCTTAAACAAAAATTAACTGAAGATGGATTAAAGACTTAAACGTAATACCTAAAACCATAAAAACCCTAGAAGAAAACCTAGGCAGTATCATTCAGGACATAGACATGCACAAAAACTTCATGACTGAAACACCAAATGCAACGGCAACAAAAGTCAAAATTGACAAATGGGATCTAATTAAAAAGCTTCTGCACAGCAAAAGAAACTATTCTTAGAGTGAACAGACAACCTACAAAATGGGAGAAAATCTTTGCAATCTGTTCAACTGACAAAGGGCTAATATTCAGAATCTACAAAGCACTTAAACAAATTTACAAGAAAAAAAGCAACACCATCAAAAAGTGGCTAAAGGATATAAACAGACACTCTCAAAGGAAGACATTTATATGGCCAACAAACATGGAAAAAAGCTTATTATCACTGTTCATTAGAGAAATGAAGCATTTCATGCCAGTTAGAATGGCGATCAGTAAAAAGTCAGGAAACAACAGATGCTGGAGAGGATGTGGAGAAGTGGGAACACTTCTACACTGTTGGAGTATAGTGTAGTATACTCCACTATAGTGTAGTATGGTGCAACCATTGTGGAAGACTGTGGCGATTCCTCACGAATCTAGAACCAGAAATTCCATTTGACCCAGCAATCCCATTACTGGGTATTTACCCAAAGGATTAAAAATTATTCTGTAAAGACACATGCACATGTATATTTGTTGCAGCACTGTTCACAATACCAAAGACTTGGAAACATCCCAAATGCCCATCAATGATAGACTGAATAAAGAAAATGTGGCACATACGTACCATGGAATACTATGCAGCCATAAAACAGATGAGTTCGTGTCCTTTGCAGGGACATGGATGAAGCTAGAAAACATTATTCTCAGCAAACCAACACAGGAACAGAACACCAAACACCACATGTTCTCACTCATAAGTGGGGGTTGAACCATGAGAACATAGGGACACAGGGAGGGGAACATCACACACTGGGGCCTGTTAGGGGCTGGACGCTAGAGGAGGGATGGCATTAGTAGAAATATGTAATGTAGATGACAGGTTGATGGGTGCAGCAAATTACCATGGCACATGTATACCTATATAACAAATCTGCATGTTCTGTACATGTATCCCAGAACTTAAAGTATATTGAAAAAAAAAAAAAAAGTAGAACCTTCGAAAAAAAAAAAGTTTGGGTAAAAATTCTAAAGTAAAATAATGGATGAAGAATTGAAAAAACATTATTAGCATGAAAGACCAAAGATTGGTTTACCTTTAACATACAAAGAACTCTTAACAAATCAGTAAGATGAACACCCCAGTTTAAAATTGGGCAAAGAACCTGAAAAGGCATTTCACCAAAATGAACATGCAGATGGCCAATAAATGAGAAGATGCTCATTTGTACTTACAATTAATGTCCTTTAAAATATCACTAATGAGATCGTCAGCCATTATAAAGTTTGTTTTCTATGTTACATCAAAAAACAGACATTCTCCTACTGCTGTAGGAGATTGTGATTTAAAACCTCTATATGAAAAGAAGGAAATTTGTAAAATGTTAATATTTAACTAGAAGGTTCAGTGGGCTCATGCATTTGACAGGTTGGACCTGCTTTGGATATGGTAAGATCTATCAAATAATTTTTAATATAATTTAGGCTTATGTAAGGGTGGGAAAAATAGTCCATATAGTTCCTTTATACCCTTTACCCTGTTTCCCCTTAACCACAGAATTTATCAAAATTAAGAGGTAAACCTTGGCACTATCTTTTTTTTTCTTTCTTCTTTTTGAGACAGAGTTTCACTCCATTGCCAGGTGCCAGGCTGGAGTGCAGTGGCAGTATCTTGGCTCACTGCAACCTCCGCCTCCCAGGTTCAAGCAGTTCTCCTGCCTCAGACCCCAAGTAGCTGGGACTACAGGCACATACCACCATGCCCAGCTAATTTTTGTATTTTTAGTAGAGATGGAGTTTCACCATGTTGGCCAGGATGGTCTTGATCTCTTGACCTCATGATCTGCCCACCTCAGCCTCCCTAAGTGCTGGGATTACAGGTGTGAGCCACCGTGCCTGGCCTGGCGCTATCTTTTTAACCGTGCTGGCCAAGTGTTTTATAGAATGTCCCACAATTTGACTTCCTCTGAATTTTCTCCTGATAAAATTGAGGTTATGCATTCCTGGCAGGAGACATAAAGGTGCTGTGCCCTCCTAGAGCGGCGTATCAGGGGGTACATGATGTCGATGTGCCTCATTACCAGTGATACCAAGCTTGATCACGTGGCTAAGGTGGCATCTGCCAGGATTCTTCATGTAGTGGAACTGTTTTTCCCTTTGTAATTTGCCAACTATTTTGGAAGAGGGAAGCTCTGTCAATATTAAAAACATGTTTTTGACCCAGAAATAGATCTCACAGAAATGTGATTGATTTAATCTCCTGCAAAATGGGGGTGATAATGCCCCCAAAGCTGATATAAGCCCCTGTGTTGGGCATCGTCTCACAGTAGTAAGCTCGCAGTTGGTTCATCTCAAGCCTTTTGAGGCCAGCTAGGTTTGGAACTCAGGACTCTTCAGAATTCAGATAAAATGGGGTGTTTATTATATATTATGTGAGAGCCCCAGGAGGAGTTAGGACAGCAACCCATTCTCAAACACTTATCTTTCTGCAGAGAAATGTATGAGTATTCACATGAAGGGAAGAAGATAAAAGACTTTAAATAAATAGCTTCAGATAAGTTCTGATCAGACATTGATCTGAGTTCAGGTTTTGTTGTTGGAAAGTTTTTAATAATCTCTTTGAGTTTTTAGAGACCATTTTGGATTTCAAAGTTGTGAATAAGGTACCGTCCACATAGGTAAAAGTTTGTAAACACAGAGATGGGTGCACAGTTGACCTTCCGTATCCATGGGTTGCACATCTGCAGATTCAACCAGCTGTTGTTCAAAATGTAGTTAAGCCCAGCCAGGCATGGTGGCTCATGACTGTAATCCCAGCACTTTGGGAGGCTGAGGCAGGCGGATCACTTGAGGCAGAGAGTTCAAGACCAGCCTGGCCAACATGTGAAACTCTGTCTCTACTAAAAATACAAAAAAAATTAGCTGGGTGTGGTGGCAGGTACCTGTAATCCCAGCTACTCAGGAGGCTGAGGTGGGAGAATCCCTTGAACCTAGGAGGCAGAGGTTGCAGTGAGCCAAGTTTGTGCCACTGCACTCCAGCCTGGATGATGGAGCAAGACTCTGTCTCAGACAAACAAAAAAATATATAGTTAGGCCTGCAGTGGTTGCATCAGTATTGAACGTGTATAGATTTTGCCATTAGTTCCTAAACATATGGCTTAACAGCTAATTACTTAGCATTTACATTGTGCTAAACATTATAAGTAATCTAGACATGGTTTAAAGCTTAGAGGAGGATGTGCCTGGGTTGTATGCAAATACTGCCATTTTATGTAAAGGGCTTGAACATCCTTGGCTTTTGGTGTCCTCAGGGGGTCCTGGAACCAGTCCCCAGTGAATACTGATGAACAGCTGTGTAAGGCTGTTTATGGTAGCATTGTTGGAAATAAGACTGGAAAACCTTGAATATTTCTCTGCAGGAGATCGGTTAAGTAAAGCTTGGCACACAGTGGTCCCCTATTCAGCCCTTTGAAAAGAATGGAGCAAACCATAATGTGCTACTGAAAAAGGGGGCCAAGATGTGTTACTAAGCATATCCAGAATGGTATGAATGGTGTGATCTTGTTTGGATTAAAATAAATATATTGATGCATATATATGTATCAAGAAACATCTAGAATTACATCTAGAAATGTCTAGAATAGCAGCTATACATATGAATCACCTGGGGAGGTTAAAAAATACCAATAGCAGTGCAACCTGGGTCGGCGTAGCCATGACGTCTCGTGTCCTTTCCTCCTGTGTCCGCCGCCTACCGGCGGCCTTCGCGCCGCTGCCCCCCGGGTCTCCATGCTGTTTGCCGCCCAGCCTTTCAGCACCGCTCTGTGCTCCGCGGGGATCCGGACGAGGCCCCAGCCTTCGCAGCGGCCTCGGTGTTCGCGCAGGTTCCGGGTAGAGTTACACAGTTGTGCCGCTAGTATTGCGAAGCGACCCCTTTGACATTAGAGGGCATCCAGGACCGTGTTCTTTACGTATTGAAACTCTATGACAAGATTGACCCAGAGAAGCTTTCTGTAAATTCTCATTTTATGAAAGACATGGGCTTAGTTTGGACCAAGTGGAGATTATCATGGCCATGGAAGACGAATTTGGGTTTGAAATTCCTGATTTAGATGCGGAAAAGTTAATGTGTCCACAAGAAATTGTGGATTACATTGCAGATAAGAGGATGTATATGAATAAAGTATCAGACCCTTTAGCTTTGTTGAGAGAGGACACAGATGATACTGACGAATGTCTGGCAGTGAGGACACAGTTTGGCATTATTGCTGGCTCTGGCAGAGTAATTCTGAGGGACTTGTATTTAAATTGTGTAAGTGTTTTTCTCTTTGAAAATAAATCTATAAAAAAAATACCAGTATCTGGGCCTTGTCCTAGACCCCTTTGAATTAGAAATGCAGGGGTGGGGGCCAGGTGTGAGGACTCACGTCTGTAATCCCAGCACTTTGGGAGGCTGAGGTGGGAGGATCACTGAGCTCAGGAGTTTGAGACCAGCTTGGGCAACAGAGCGAGACCTCATCTCTACAAAAATAGAAAAAATTAGCTGGGCATGGTGGAGCACAGCTGTAGTCCCAGCTACTTGGGAAGCTGAGGTGGGAGAATCTCTTGAGCCCAGGAAGTTGAGGCTGCAGTGAGCTAGGATCACACCAACAGGCAGCTCTGTCAGCCTGGGTGAGAGAGTGAGACCCTGTCTCAAAAAAAAGGAAAGAAATCAAGTGGTGGAGCCCAGGTATTCATATTTTAAAAAGTGTTCCAGGTGATGTTGGTGCCCTTTGAGTGTTGAGGACCACTGGAATAGAAGGACCCAGATGTTAGAAAATGGGATCCCATTCTTTTGAAGTAGGATGAGGGTGATGTAATTTATACTTTGTTTTTGGAAACCGAGTCTCCCTCTGTCGCCCAGGCTGAAGTGCAGTGGTATGATCTTGGCTCACTGCCACCTCCACCTCCGGGGTTCAAGTGATTCTCTTGCCTCAGCCTCCTGAGTAGCTGGAACTGCAGGTGTATGCCATCATGCCTGGCTGATTTTTGTATTTTTAGTAAAAATGGGGTTTCACCATGTTGGCCAGGCTGGTCTCAAGTTCCTGACCTCAGACCACCCACCTGCCTCGGCCTCCCTAAGTGCTAGGATTACAGTTATGAGCCACTGCACCCAGCCAATTTATACTGTGTGTAGTTTCCCATTATTCCTTAGCAAAAGCCATTTGGAAAAGTCCTCACCACCCCCTGTTATGTTTTTATTTTTATATTTTTAAAAAAAGGTTAAGGCTGGGTGCAGTGGCTCATAGTTGGAATCCCAGTACTTTGAGAGGCCCAGATGGGAGGATCACTTGAGGTCAGGAGTTTGAGGCTGGTGTAGGCAATAGTGAGACCCTGTCTGTACAAAATTTTTTTTTAAAAATTAGCTGGGCATGGTGGCCCATGCCTGTAGTCCCAGCTACCTGAGAGGTTGAGGCAGGAGGATCGTTTGAGCCCAAGAGTTTGAGGCTTCAGTGAGTCATGATTGTGCCACTGTACTCCAGCCTGGGCGATAGAGACCCTGTCTCTAGAATAAATAAAAAAAAATTTTAAAAAGTTTACGAGTCAAAAAAGACTTTTGCAATCAAAATGAGATGTGATAGGACAGTGGAGACACAGCAGATCTGTAGAATCTTCTAGAAGTTTTCTATTTCTGAGCTTATGCTCTTTGAGTATATTCAGTGCTTCCTGATATCAACTGTTAATTGAAAGAAAAACATTGTTTCCCCGTTCATCCTGAGAGGCCAGAAGCTGGTCAGAATTTCCACCCATGGTAATTCTGGGGGTGCTTTATTTTAGATGATTCTGCTAGATTGCTTCTTTATTCCTGGGCAGACCCCCACACTAGTAGCTAGATGTTAAGAAAGGAAGCCTTTTAATGACTTGGAGAGAGCCCTCTCACTTGAAGAGACTATAGGGTTAGGTTCAGCTCGCCCTTGTTCTCACTGGTGAGAATTGTGTTTTGCAGGTGACTCCTTGGTGGTCTCTTCTCCCCTCCCATCCCTCGTCTTTCTCCCCACCTTCCGCTTCCCTTTCCTCTTCTGTTGCTAGACACTCCGGTGTGAAAGGCTCTCTGTAGAGCTCAGAGAGGCGGTTGCAGTGAAACCGCTCTCACTCTGATAAGGTTCTGTTTTATCTGGCTCAGCAAAAGCCGTTTGGAAGAGTACACTTTCCTTGTTCCTGGAGACCTGTGCTTGCATCCAGCCAGACCTGGCTTTGAATTGAAGCCCATTAACAACACTGATGGCGTCTTTCTTCTAAGCTGAATGTATTTTTGTGCACTTTGTAGCTGTCACACAGAGGCACTGTTTTTCCTCACATGAGGCATACAGTGTAGCAGTTGCACAGATATGGTCCCTAAAGTGAGAAACTAATGTTTGAAGGACAAGGTGCTCTAATTTGGCATGGAGTGAATGCCTCGTTTCCACCTCAAAGCCTAAGATGGAACACATTTTTCCCAGTGACTTCAGGCAGATGGCACACCTCCCACTTCTGTTTCATGCCACGAAGGAAGAGACACTTCTATAGCCAGGGCTTTGCCTGCATAGTGATATACACGGTGGGGAGTTCACATTCACCTCCAGAATGGGTTTCCTGCTTTGCTTGAGAAATGCTTTAATTGGGTGTCATTCATAATCGTGTCAAAGGGTAAAAAAACCCTTGTTTGGAATCAAATCAAAAAGCTCTCTCTGAGAAGTAATGAGGAATATACTCTTTCTAATGTGATGTGGAAGCACTTAAAATATATTATTGCTGTTTACAGAAATGATTACTTCTCAAACATTGCTGCTTACAGAAATGATTAATTCTAAAACTATGTCAGGAAGGTGAGTGTGGTAATGATTTTAGAGGGGAGGAATCTGAAATGTAAGATATATCCTCCCTTGCCTAAAGTCTCAAGCTAGTCTGTGACAGGTTTTGGGGCGATGCCTGCCCCGCTGAGCCTGTCCTGGGAGCTGGACACACTGCCCTGGGTGCACAACACCATGGGCTCTGTGTGTGCCGTTCACATGCTCTTCTCCCTCAACAGCTTTGCCATCAAGGAGAAGATGCCGGCCCATGCTGCCTTGCAGGATGCCTTTCCTCTTGGTTGTAAGGATGACACTGTCTGCTTTGGAGACGATTACACTAATATTGAGGCTTATTTATTTGCTTTTGCTTGGCAGATTTTCAGTGCTGATTTTGAGATGATGGGCTTGGGAAACGGGCGTCGCAGCATGAAGTCGCCGCCCCTCGTGCTGGCTGCCCTGGTGGCCTGCGTCATCGTCTTGGGCTTCAACTACTGGATTGCTAGCTCCCGGAGCGTGGATCTCCAGGTGTCTTGTTTTGTTTATTGTTACGTTTATTTTATGTTTTTGTTTGTTTATTTTGTTATAATGGGGTTCAAGGGGTTTGCTGTTTATTGCTAGCCAAGGGGTTTTGCGAAGGGCATATGCTGGAAGGTGAGTTTAGGCTCTGCACACACCCCCAGCCCTGGGCCAGACTCTGGGCAGCTCTGCTTTGGGTGGCAGAGGCCCCCTCTGTGGTTATGTAGGATTGCGGTTGTGGTATCCCTCCCTGCCTTTCCTGTGAGTTAATAGCCTTCGTTTGAACTACTGGGGTAGTTCTGGGAAGACAGCTTGCTTACGTACGCTGGCCACAGCCTGTTGTTTGTGGTCCTCCAGTGCACAAGATATGGAAGAGCAGTATTGCTCTTGGAAGAGCACTTCGTGCTTGGATTATGCGTGTAAGAAATATGTCTTCATGATTTAATGATGATAATTTTAACTATCTCATTTACTGTTGCCAGCCGTAGGTCAGGTACAGTGCTGAGCAGTGACAAAGATGCTCCTCTTGATCGAGGTTTAGTTGGGCTCCTCTGAGCCACCTTCTTGACTAGGCCTCGATCTTGGCCCCTGCCAACTCCCTCTCCCTGTCTTTGGCCTGCCCTGCCCAGTCTTAGCAAAGGATCCTGCTATGCCATCCTTCTACCTGTGATACTTGACCAAGTTCCTCATCCCTATCCTTGCTGTCTAAGTCCTTCGCCTGCATTTGGCAAGAATCTTGTTAGGGCAGTTTTGCAAGAATCCCCCTCCTCTGAGGGAGATTTCCATCCACTGACTCCCCCGACTGTGCTCGTTAGCTATAAATCCCCAGCTGTCTTGGATGTGTTCAGAGTTGAGCACAATTTCCCTCTCCTATTGAAATCGTTTTGAATAGTCTTTCTTTCAGCATTTTAATAAGTGTCTGAATAATTTCTCTTTAACAGTACTTTACACAAATTATCTCCTTTTGTGCACAAACCCTATAAGCTTGGGATTTTACTCTCCTCATTTCACAGGGGTCAGACTGACCAAAAGGAGGTTGAAGTGGAGCAGGGATTCCACCTGCATGGGCTTAGCCATGCACCCCAGCCCCTCTGCGCTCTGCCCTGCTGTCACACTTACCCTCCTGGGCTTGTACTCCCGGTGTGTCAGCTTCTACAGGAGCCCCTGTTTGCTGGGGAGATGGGCTCTGGTTGTCTGGAGTTGGAGAACTGAAGCTGTTTTCAGATATTGTGTCTGCTAAATAGTTGTTAAGCGATTTATTAGCAGAGAAGAACTAAATATTTGAGGACCATTTCATGCCAGGTAAAGCATGAGGCATTCTATGCACTTAGCACATTTAAGTCTAACAAAAACCCAGTGGGGAGTGTGTCAGTGCACAGAGCCTTCCTTCACTTGCACTGACAGAGACCATTTCTTTGGAAGAACCTGCTCCAGCTTCTACACAGTTGACTTAAAATACAGAGCTGTGGGCACTTGTTTGTGTGAGGCTGCTGCTGGCTCTGGGCCTCAGGGTGGTCTTTGTAGAGCGTGGTCCAAGCTCTGTGGGTGACTTGACTTGGCATTGGCCCTGACGTCGAGGTTTTCTTGTAGACGCGGATCATGGAGCTGGAAGGCAGGGTCCGTAGGGCAGCCGCAGAGAGAGGTGCCGTGGAACTGAAGAAGAACGAGTTCCAGGGAGAGCTGGAGAAGCAGCGGGAGCAGCTTGACAAAATCCAGTCCAGCCACAACTTCCAGCTGGAGAGTGTCAACAAGCTGTACCAGGACGAAAAGGCAAGGCCTGCTTTGTTTCCTCTCAGCTCTCTTCTAAAGGACAGTGTCTACATTGTCTGTTTCTTCTAGGTGGGAGGATGGGCAGGAGGCTGGGTTTAGATTTATGTAATTATGCGGAAAGAGCCTGTCAATCAAGATTTGGGCATTCTCCCCCTTTCCCCCTCCAAGTCCCTGACTGGCTTGCAGTGAAGCCTTTTGCAATGGTGATAAACAGGAGAAATGCAGAACGAACTCAGATTCTTCCTCCTATTGGCTTTTTTCCCCCTCCTATTGGTTTTTTTCCTCCCGCTTTCTACAAACATGTATTAAATACCTACTCTGCGCCAGGCCTGTGCAAGTGCTTATATCTCAAAGAGAAATGACATTTGTGCCCTTCAGCTCTCTCACGGAGGACAGCAGAGGAGAGGAAGAGTCTCTACTGAATACTGACAGAGAAAGTAGGGGACTTGGGCATTGGCTCTTAAGCTAAGAAAAAAAACCAACAAAACCTGCATAGAGTAAAAGGGGGCTTCCTTTTAATTAAAATATCTAAGCTTTATGTGTCACGTTTTCTGGTTTTCTTACGCAGGAATATATGACTATATTAAATTGTGTTTTTTCTATGTGTGGTACAAAAGAAAATAATTTTAAAAATTGTGTAACTATGTGAGTTACTAATATCTCCTATATCAAAGTGCATCAACTCATGGCCACTTACTAACTAGAAAAATTGGGCTTTTTTTTTTTTTTTGAGACAGAGTTTCACGGCTGTTGCCCAGGCTGGAGTGCAATTGCATGATCTTGGCTCACTGCAACCTCCAACTCCTGTGTTCAAGTGTTTCTCCTGCCTCAGCCTCCCAAGTAGCCGGGACTATAGGCATGCGCCACCATCCCTGGCTAATTTTTTATATTTTTAGTACAGATGGGGTTTCACTGTGTCGGTCATGTTGGTCTTGAACTCCTGACCTTAGGTGATCCACCCACCTAGGCCTCCCAAAGTGCTGAGATGACAGGCGTGAGCCACCTCGCCTTGCCGGAAAAATTTGGCTTTTATAATGCATGGCCCTCTGTCTCTGGAGTGGCTAATTTATTGGAAGAAGGTTGTAGCTCAACTTCTGTTATCTTGAATTGTCTCAGAAAATGAATTATTTCCAGGGAGGGCTCAGACTTTTCTTGCATAACTAATTTAAACTGCAAGAAGTACTTTTTTAATTTGCAGAGTACTTTCCTATATTTGCAAACTCATATTTCTTCTCCGGGAATTGTTCATAATGTTGTCGTAATAAAGTGCTTCTTTATGTTTCTTCCCTTTTCTTATTGGTGAGAGATGCTGTCTGAGCTCCAGAAAACCCTTTTAACCTCATCTCTCAAAAACAAGGAAATCAAAAAGAGCATCAAATAGCTTTTTGAAAGTGAGTCTGTTTTCCCAGTTTTTCTTTTTTAGAATATGCAATATAAATGTCTTTTCATTTTGGTGAGCAAGGGTGGGTTCTCACCTCAAACCTTAGCTGCAGGAGGATTTTAGCTGTGGTTTGGTGGTGGGAGGCATGGAAAGTCTGAATCAAGAGGACTTGGGTTCAAAGTTTCCTCAGCTGTGTGATTTGAGGCAAGTCACTTAAATCCTCTGGATCTATTTTCTCAACTGTCAAGTGGAAATAATAATGGAATCTTACAGGGTGCCTGTGAGGATTCAGTGAGATAATATTATAAAGTGTTTAACACAGTTCTCAACATGAAATGAAAGCTCAGTAACTGATGTTGGTATTATTATACCTATCTGGACTGACGGCAGCAGTGGTGGGTGCAGTCGTAAGCCACCGCAGCTGCAGTGATAATATTACCTCTTTCTGTATGGACTTTGTCTTAGTCTAAGCCTGCTATAACAAAATATCACAAACTGGGCAGCATATAAACAACAAATATTTATTCTCACAGTTCTGGAGGCTCTGGAAGTCACAGATCAAGACAAGGGCAGATTCATCCGGTGAGGGCCCACTTCTGGGTTCATGGATGCCCTCTTGGGGTGTCCTCACCTGGTGGAAGGGGAGAGGCAGCTCTCTGGGGCCTCTCTTATGGCACTAATCCCATGTATGAGGGCTTGACCCTCCCAGAGGGCCCCTCCCCAACACCATCACCTCCATTTGGTATTTGGTGATTTGGTTTCAACATGTGGAATTTGAAGGACACCCACACTAAGACCGTAGCAGACTTTTTTTTTCCCCTTCCAAATTGAAACCATGAAACCAAATTGTGCTAGCTTTAAAAAGAGTTAGGAAGACATCAAGGAAGGTGGAACCAAGAGCAAGCAGAGCGGCGGGGCTTTGGAAGGAGAACAGGAGCCACAGCAGTGACAGGAGTGGACGTTTCCTGAGCCTGTGCTTGGCCAGATGTGAGGCTGAACATTTCACAGGGACTGTTTCATTAATTCCTCCCAGCCAGTCTCACGAGACTGGGGCTCATTTTATTAGTGAGCTGAGGCTCAGAGAGTTAGCAGCTGTCACCCAGGATGACACCTAGATCCTAGAGAGCCCCCAGGCCACCCTCCACCCCTGCATGCTGGCCTCCTTCTCCCTTCAGTGTAGACACCTAAAGGGTGTCCCCACCTAAAGGGCGTCAGGGTGGAGGGGAGAGGGGTAGAGGAAACCAGATGGGCTTGACTTAGTCAGTGTTGAAGCTGGTGATCAGTACATGGGAGTTCATCATACTAAGTTGTTTACAACCTTTGTCTACATTAAAGACTTCACAGTAGAAACTTTAAAAACATCCTCGGCCGGGCGCGGTGGCTCACGCCTGTAATCCCAGCACTTTGGGAGGCCTAGGCGGGTGGATCATGAGGTCAAGAGCTCGAGACCATCCTGGTCAACATGGTGAAACCCTGTCTCTACTAAAAATACAAAAAATTAGCTGGGCATGGTGGCGCGTGCCTGTAATCCCAGCTACTCAGGAGGCTGAGGCAGGAGAATTGCCTGAACCCAGGAGGCGGAGGTTGTGGTGAGCCGAGATCGCGCCATTGTACTCCAGCCTGGGTAACAGGAGCGAAACTCTGTCTCAAAAAAAAAAAAAAAAATCCTCTTTGTATCTTCTTGCTTCCAAAGAGTTCCAAAGAGCGAGGGTTCTAACTAGCTCTGTTTTGGCTACATAGATGGGCTGATCCTTCATCTAAATACTTTTCTCAACATTGTCTCTCTCTCTCTTTTTTTTTCTTTAATCTTAGAAGATTAGCATTTTTATGATTAGAACTGGAACAAGGCTCCTTAAAAAAATTTTAAAGAACCATAGTGATTCTCAACCATGGGAGGAGGTGCGGTGTGGGGACCTGTGGCTGGGGGTGGTTTGCAAATTACACCTGACCTAGAAATTTCTCTGCCTGTCTCTGCCAGTGTTCCTCAACTCAAGCAGTCACTGTCACTCTGGGTGGGTGTTGTACCCCTCAAGTGGGGGCCTGGACTAAAGCTTGAAAACCAAACCTATCATCAGGGAAAATGTGAACAAACACTTGTTCATAATGAAATTACTGCTTTGGGTCAGCCCTGTCTGATAGAATTTTCTGTGATGACAAATGTTATATGTGTGCTGGTGCAGTACAGTAGCCACTGGCCACATGAGTCTAATAAATACCTGATTGAAATGTGGCTAGTGGGACTGAAGAACTGAATTTTATTTAATTTAAATGTAAATAGCCAAATATGGCCTCACTGGACAGTACAGGTTTGGGTGGTTGGCAGAACGCTGGGGGAAGCCTTATTTGGGCCTCTGAGTCATAGGGAGCCATGTTCTTTGATGGAGCAGAGGGCAGAGTCTGAGTCTCCTGCCTTGGTGAGTCTCTTGAGTCTCCTGAGCTCCTTGGTGCCTTTCCCCCTTCTCTGTAAGGTTCGGGAGCAGTGTGGGGAATTGGGCAATGGAAGATGAAATCAACTTCTGCCTGGGGAGTTGTGTCCCACCAAAGCTCTCCATAGCTTGCTGGTGTTCTGATGCAGAATGATCCGTTCAGCTTATCAAATAGGCTGTCATTTACACCCCAGCTTGGGATTTTGATCTAATTTGTTATGGAAGTTGTTTCAGAGCAATCCGTCCTCGCCTGACTGCTCATGATAACCACCTGCGAGCTTAGGAACAAAATACAGATTTAAAATATACACGGGATCAGACTCTGGATGTTTGGATTCAGAGTATAGAAGTTTTTAAAAGATCTCACATCCATAGACATACACACACATATTCAGACATGCACTTTTTTTTCTAAATTTCCAGACCACTGTGATGCAGCTGCTGATCCAGAAACTGTGATTGAGATCAAGTGTTTCACAGAATTGTACTTTTAAAAATAAAAATGCATTGTCAAGGTTATCTATTTTTTTCAGTTTCCTTTTTACCCTTCAGTGAAGTGATTTAAAAATTAAAGGGCATTGTGATTAAGAGGTATGTCATCATGTGCTGCATACGATGTTTTGGTCAATGATGGACCCATAAAATTCTAATACCATAGGTTTACTGTATCTTTTCTGTGTTTGGATACATGAATACCACTGTGTTACAAGGCCTGCAGTATTCTGTACAGTGCCATGCTGTACAGGTCTGTAGCCTGGGCACAGTAGGCTGTACCATACATGCACTTTCTATAAGTACAATCTATGATGTACACACAAAGACAGAATCTCATGATGCATTTTTCACAACCTATTCCCATCATTATGCAATGCATGACTGTAATTCATCTAAATGTAATTTGGTAAAGCTGTTACAAAGTAATTGAGTTAATACTTGTTTTTGTACGGTATTTCTTTCCTCTACCCACATTTATTGGAATCCTAAAACATTTTTAGAAGCTCTGCTGGGTTGGAAACTTACTGATCACTACTTTTTTCCTGAAATAGCCAACTCACCCAGAATTTGAATATAGGTGGATCTCGAGGTCCTCAGCACTGATATAGGCTTGCTTAGACACCCCTTAGAGTGTCACCCAGGGTGGGTGGGCAAGTGCAAGACATCTCATGAGCTTCTCAACAGCTATATGATGGTGA